TTTTGGTCTGCCTAAGAGTACCATTCAATTTAAATATGCATAAACATTAGCTCCCAACTTAAACTTTATTAGACAACAAAAGAGAACCTGATATTTGGTCTTGTAAAGATTGGCAGCCGCAGCGTGTGCAAGAATTAGGTTGTGACCAACAATGTATGGTTCGGTGCCAGAATCACCACCAAGATAGCGACTTGGATCCCATTCTGCACCTCTACCGGGTGCGTATTCTCCAATTACATAACCTTTGAATGTGAACATGACTGGTTCATTTAAGGTAATCCAATGTTTCACTTTTTGTCCATACTCCTTGAAACAAAACTCTGCGAAGTCTTGAAAATCATCTCTGCAAATAATTTGCACCATTATTTTCATGTCCTTCAAAACATTTTACTTTTTCTTAATGCAAATTTATTCATTTATTTCTTTTGTTTTACAATCAAGCTCACCGTTAATAGATATTATCTATTTCGATTCGTTACTTATCGCCATCAACCTCACGATTTTAAAACATATCTACTAGGAAGAGGTTTCCACATTTTATAAGAAATGTTTCGTTCCCCTCTTCAACCAATGTGGGATCTCACAATCCACCCTCTTGAGAACCAACATCTGTAACACTATTTGTGTCTAGCTCTAATACTATTTGTAATAGCTTAAGCTCTAGTAGATATTGTCCACTTCGGTTCATTACGTATCTTTGTTAGTCTCACAGTTTTAAAACGCGTCTACCAGAGAGGCTTTCACACCTTATAAACAATGCTTCGTTCCCCTCTTCAACAACGTGGGATGTGAGATCTCACATCGGTCGGAGATGAGAATAAAGCATTTCTTATAAGGATGTGGAAACCTCTCCCTAACAGATGCGTTTTAAAACCTTGAAGGAAACTCTTGAAGGAAAAGTCTAAAGACAATATTTGCTAGCTGTGAGCTCGAGTTGTTACAAACATTGTGAAATCCACATTGGTGGTGTAGAAGCCTCTCCCTAGCGACACATTTTAAAAATCTTGTTTTAAAGAGAACAATATTTCTCCAAATTCTTACAAATCCAAAATCAAATTTGTTTATGATTGAATCTAAAATGAAGCAAATGTTACTAAAGACTTTATTTATTTTGGTAATAAACAAGACTAAAATAATATTTCCTACAATATTAATTTAATTTGAATACTTTGTAGTGAATGTGTTATTGGATTATGTAAATCAATTAGCATTAATGATATGATAATTTAAACCAAAAAGGATAATTAAAGCCTACATATAAATAATTTAGTCCCTAAGGAGCCCATGTTGCTATCACTCTCTTCAAAATATTAAACAAAATTTTATGGATTGAATTGAATATATAAGATCGGTTTGGTACTAATAATTGATACTCCTAAATCACGTGAAATATGATAATGGTATAGAAATTACTTACACAATTTGACTATTCAAGAAGCCACCATATTCCGTTTCTAAATCTTGAGGAACATCCCAATGAAATAGTGTGACATAAGGTTTGATCTCTACCAATACAAACACAGCCACATGATTAGTTGACTCAAACTTACTTAACATAATCAATGAGATTAATCACAAATAACCCACTATTTGCATGCAGTTCATCGATGAGATTATGATAGTAATCAATTCCTTGTTGATTCACACCCCCAGAAAGCTTTCCAGCTGAAATTCAACAACAACATTAATGTTCATAAATTAAGCTTAGAAAATATTAATTAAAATAGAATTGTTACACTGATTTGTTCATCTCTAAGTTCTTACTTGGAAAAATTCTAGACCAAGCGATTGAGAATCGATAAACGTTAAAACCTATTTTGTTCATGATGCCAACGTCCTCCTGTATGATCAACAATTATGGGATTTGTTTAAGATTTATATTTATATATATAGTTTGAACAATTATGGGATTTGTTTGTTCCCATTTTAGTCACCTTATAGCGATGATACTCATCAACAGTTATATCGCCATTTTTGTGATCAGCAATTCTATCTGAAATTAACAAATAAACAACATTGAGATCCATAATTATGTGTGCAATTCAACAAAATAAGTAACATTGAGAGATAGACATACCTGAATGTTTGTGAGTGTAGGTGTCCCAAATACTTGGCCCTTTGCCATATTTAAAGGCAGCCCCTTCATACTGATCAAACCATAGCAAATCAATACTCTGTTCTTTGTTCTTAATTTATTATTATTTGTATATGTAACGGCTCAAGCACACCGCTAGTAGATATTATTTTCTTTAGATTTTTCCTTTCGGGCTTCCCCCTCAAGGCTTTAAAACACATTACTAGGGGAAGGTTTCCACACTTTTATAAAGGGTGTTTTGTTCTCCTTCCCAACCAATATGGGACATCACAATATGTAACGACCCAGATCTACTGCTAGCAAATATTGTCCTTTTTGGGTTTCCCTTTCGAGCTTCTCCTCAAGGCTTAGAGTTTGATTCCAATAGTCATATGCAACTTTTACTTAACCTGGTAAGCGGAAGATGCTGCACCAAATACAAAGTCTTCAGGAAAGCTGCTTCGTCTTATTATGGCGACTGGCTGACTGCTGCTATCCATAACTGCAAACACATGAAGCACAGAGTTTAGGGAAGAACATTCTAACAGCCTAAGCTCACCACATCCTGTTGAGGATGTTGGGAGGTAGTCCCACGTTGGCTAATTTAGGGAATGATCACGGGTTTATAAGGAAGGAATACATCTCCATTGGTTGAGGCCTTTTGGAGAAACACCAAAAGTAAAATGAGAACTTATGCTTAGAGTGGACAATATCCTATCATTGTGGAGTACACTAACGTGAGATCGTTAAAAATTTTGGATGGAAATTAGGACGTAGAACGTAGAACCGAACGAATATGATGTAACGATGGATTACGAAGAAAAATAAAAGAAAGTAATTCACTTACCGCTAGCCATTGAGCTTCAAGAGGAGCAAGGGTTTGGGTGCTTAGATCTTGGAGAGTGTTTGAGATAAAAAGTTTATTTTGTTCTTAATGGACTCAAGCCTGTCGTTCCCTCCTTTTTATAAGGTTCAAGGTCAACACATTTATGAATTTGTAGTCTTTTTTTTTTTTTTACTTATTTGTTTTGTTTCTACTCATCTATATTGTTGGAATGTTATTTTAATGTTCACACGGAGCTTATCTCGGTTACTGTGTTCACAACGATCAAATGATCTATCTATTCCCTTTAAACCCGTCATTTTAAATTATATCGAGGCGTGACCTCATAATCATAATCGTTTCAATCCTATCAATCGATACAATTCACTATTAGAGAGTAGTTAGACAACTTTCTAACCATTTCCATATAACACAATGACTCTCGGTCTACCAACTACTACGATACTATATATGGAGACTTGTTAGTCATAGACAAGTTCAATTCTATCCTACAGTTAGTCGAAAGATACTATGAATAATTTTTTTTTTCCAATTTCATTTAGAAAATAATCTAGATATTACACGGTTGCCAATTAAAATAAATGTTATATTCTATTTCATATTTTTAATGTTATTATTAATTCGTAAATGGTATGCATTCTTTCCTTTAAATTGGGAGATGAAATCTATATTATTTTACAAAAATAATTCTTGTTTTTATATGGGTGTCGTGATAAAATATTTGAATATAGACTTAAATGTCCACATGATAATAATATTTATTTTTCTCGTGGATCGTGTTCAAACTTCAACAACCATATTTATTTCTGATTTAGATCGTGTTCAAAATTTAACCAAAATGGGAACGTACCATGTTCAAACTTCAACCAAATTGGTTTTATATCACATTATATGACCCCATATTTCCATCACGATGTTATAGTCAAGCCATATGGGTTCTTCTTGTCGTTCATGATCAAGAGAGACAAGATTAGAGAAAAAAAAATAAATAAAGACAACCATTTCTGCCGGCTAATAAATATTTCAACCTCCTATTCCCAAAAATTTTAAATGTTCATACAAGATAAAATAGGTCAAAAGTGGTACCTGGATCTATCTCATCTCCTATAATTTCTCCAATAATTTCGTAGCTTGTGAACGCACTTTATTAGGTATTACAATTCTTGTAATTTCTTAAAGTAACATGACTCGGTATAAAAATGTAAGTAACTTACTTGTAATCTCTTAAAATCTTTTTGAAAAGTCTTTTGTTATTCGTGTACATATAGTTCTTAAATCTTATATCATACTTAATGTTATGTATCTAAATTATATCATACTCAAGGCGTCTACTAGGGGAAAGTTTCCACACTCTTATAAATGGTGTTTTGTTCTCTTCCCCAATCGATGTCGGACATCACACTAGCATTCAAATTCAACTAGCTTATTCAAGCTCAACTTAGAGTTCCATAATTTCATAATTTTTAATAATTTACCTCTTATAAGGGGCTTTTTTTTTTTTTTTAATATTTATTTTTTATGTAACAACCTGATTTTTTTTTTAATTAAAAATAAGGTCTTCATGCATGCATGACATGATTTTTAAGTGCGAAAATGTTTATTTAAAATAATTTCAAACGATGTTATGGACATAAACGTTCAAAGTAAAACCATAAAAAAATAATAAAGCAGAAAATAATAACGTAGCATTTGAAACGAAACGGAAAAACAAATCAGTGGCCTACTCTAACCTAAGGGCTACAAAATGACAACACAATTACTCTAACACTGGTGTCATAGCCTTCATCATGACGCCGTCATCATTCGTATAGAGGTGTCTTATCTTTACTTGAAATGTAACAGTAGCACATGACTTGAATATTTTAAGAAATACTAAGTAAAGAAACTTCACTATTGGAGTTAGGAAATGCAAACACATGCAATATGGTAGAATAAATTCTTTTAACATATCATAGCATGACGTTAGGTAGCCTTTCACTCTGGGTAAGGTTGGATGTATAGTACTTCTCTACATATGGTCAATGCGTGCAAGCATGAACCCACTAAGCGGGCTCGAACACTCCCTAGGTCTGGGTTGTTGGACTAACACTTGCTAATGGGCTCTTGTCGAACACCACTGAAGGAAAGGGCCCACATAGCATCATGATAAACAATCCCACCATGTCTTGATGTCACTCCAAGTCTCGGGATGTCATTGGCCATCATAACTCGTTCGATCATGTCATCAAGAATAGACCCATGGTCACTCATATAATCGGGACATCCCAACCACCAGTTTGTCAGAGTTATATCGAGGCATTGGACCCTTCTATATCCATACTAGTTCATTTACGAAATTCATTTCAGATAGTAAGTACATAACCAACCTTCGATAATGGGCGGGGCCGCAACGTTGACACAATCGTGCAGTCCAACACTATCCTTGATAGACCCATTTCAAAGGAAGTCACTAAAGACACTTATTTTGCAACACTTGCCCCTCACTACGACACACGTATGTAACATTGGATAACTTGCTTAGACCATATGGTCTAGGAGTGGTGGAAAGCTAACACCATGTCTCTTCCAAGATATATTTCGATGCATTTTTTGGTATGATGGGTAAAGACATGATTTTGACGAACGAACATATGATATCATGGAACGTTCATTCGGTGTTCGATTGACACCAAATTTAACAAGCATGGATAAACTTGAAATTATAACCACATAACTCCAACTTTCGAGGTTAAAGCCGAGGACCCTAGCCGAATCTTGAGCAAGCCATCCTAATCTCTATCTCACCTATGTGAATGAATGTTTGGTGATGAAAGAAGACATAGCAAGGACTTGAATAGGAAGGTGGAGGCACTTGGGATCCCTTTTCTAATTTGGTCTCTTTTTTGTTCCTCCACACCAATTTTATGTCTCCATCTGTGGAAGGTTTTGTTTGTTTGTTTGTGTTGTGAATTTGGGATCCAAATTTGTGAATCGGGGCTGACAATCTGAACAAGACCATTGACTGCTACATTGTACAACTGGGGTCCACATTCACGTGATCTGTTACTTTAAATGAACGGCTGTAAAGTATCTCAAATCCCAACCGTCCATTCACTTTACCCTTAGTTTTTTAACAAATCGCAGCCATTCAGTCTTCCAACTATCCACAACCATAAAACAGGATTTATCCCATGCTATTTGATAATTAATTTTTTATTTTTTAAAATTTTAATTAATGTGGTCTCTCCCAACTAAATTAATAAAAATATTTTTCAATTATACAAATACTTTTCAAAATTTTATTGATACCAAAAAGTATCTTTATTTTTTTAAAAAAATCAAAAATACATTTATGGTTGCTACTCATTTAAAAAAAATATATATATATATATTCACCAAGCTTTTAAAATTAAAATAAAAAAAATTTGGATATAATTTATGAGGTGTCATACATTATTTTCGTCCATATAGAGATAGTAAATATTTTTTTTTGAATATTTTTTATATTAATAAAAGATATTAATGCTACTTTTAAAATTTTAAGATTTAAATGTATTTTTGAAACCAATAAAAAACTGTCAGTATTTTTGAGTTGTGACCAACAATGTATGGTTCGGTGCCCGAATTACCACCAAGATAACGGGATTTGTCCCATTCTGCACCCCTACCTTGAGCATATTCTCCCATGACATAACTTTTGAAGGTATAAATGTATTGTTCATTAAAGGTAATCCAATGTTTCACTTTATTTCCAAACTCCTTGAAACAAAGCTCCACTGTTAGCCCAGATTGTTTGCTTTGGCTCGATTACGTATCTTTGTCAGCCTCGTGATTTTAAAATGCGTCTGCTAGGGAGAAGTTTCCAGCACCTTATAAAAGACGTTTCATTTCCCTCTCTAACCGATACTAGATCTCACAATTCACCCCCCTTCGGAACCAGCGTTCTCGTTGACAAACCCCTCGGTGTCTGGCTCTAATACCATTTGTAACATCTCAAGCCCACCGCTAGCAAATATTATCCAGTTTGGCCCGTTACGTATCGCCTTCAGTCTCACGGTTGTAAACCGTGTCTGTTAGAGAGAGATTTCTACACTTTTATAAGAAATGTTCATTCCCCTTTCCAACTAATGTGGGATCTCACAATCCACTCCCTTGGGAGCCTAGTGTTCTCGTTGACACACCGTCTGGTGTCTGGATCGATACCATTTGTAACAGCTCAAGTCCACTACTAACCGATATTATCCACTTTGGCCCATTACGTATCATCTTCAGCCTCACGATTTTAAAACGTGTCTGTTAGGGAGAGGTTTCCATACCCTTATAAAGAATATTTCATTCTTCTCTCCAACCGACGTGGGATCTCACATTATCGCTCACTTTTTTCCTTTCATAGAGGCCACCATATTATTTACATTTATGTTTTGAAATTTTTACTTACACAATTTGACGATTCAAGAAGCCACCCTATTCAATTTCTAAAGCTTCAGGAACATCCCAATGAAAAAGTGTGACATAGGGTTTGATGCCTACAAATGGAAATTATATGACCCATTTTGAGATTAATAGAACTTGGTTAAGATAATGATTGAGATTAAATAAAGAATAGAAGAAGAAGAAGGCCCCATTTGCAAGCAGCTCATCGATGAGATTATTGTAGTACTCTATTCCATCTTTGTTCACACCCCCACTAAGCTTTCCCACTGACAACAATATTTTAAGAACATTAGTGTTCATAAAATTAAGCATATGGGTTAGTTTAATTCTTCCTTTTAAGTTCTTACACGGCAAAATTCTTGACCATGCGATTGAGAATCGATAAACACCAAAACCTATGTTCTTCGTGAGGGCAACGTCTTCCTTATAGCGATGATACTCATCAACAGCTACATCTCCATTCTCGTGATCAACAATTCTCTCTGAAATTTAACAAATAAGTAACATTGAGACACATAATTCTGTGTCCAATTCAACAGATAAACAACATTGAGAGAGAGAGACATACCTGGATGTTTGTGAGTGTAGGAATCCCATGTACTTGGCCCTTTACCATCCTTAAAAGCATCACCTTCATATTGAACAAAACATAACAATTCAAAATCATTCTTTATTCTTAATTTATTGTTTGTAAACCTTAAAACAATATATCCAACGTTTCTTCATCCTGGTCAGCTGAAGATGCTGTACCAAGTACGAAGTCCTCAGGAAAGCTGCTTCGCCTGACCATGTTGATACGCTCGCTGTCGTTATTAACAACGGCAAACACAGATAGTACAAAATTTAGGGAAGAACACAATATACCAATCTTTCAGACTGATCACCGAGTTTGGTTTGGTTTGGTTTGGTTTGCTCACTCGTATTAAGTAGATATCGAACGTTCAATACCCTTATATTAAAACATTGATGAAAATTGAGATCCAGAACGAATATAACGATAATCTAAAACGATGATCTAAACTAGTTCATTTACCGTTAGCCATTGAGCCTCAAGAGAAGGGTTTGAAAGCTCTGATCTTTGGAGAGAGTTTCAAGAAAGGGTTTTTGGTTCTTTGTGGTGGACTATAGGCTGTCATTCCCTCCTTTTTATAAGGTTTCAGCTCAAGAATGTATTTACTTCAAGCCATTTTTTAATTTAGAGAGTTAGAGAATTTTCACTGTTGGCGACTTTATTACTATTCTCTTATAGCACAATAATCGAGCTAGTTCATTGATAAATGTTAACTAATCATAAAGTGAGTGACTTCATTTCTCACCCATAATCGTAAAGGGAGTGACCTCATTCCTTAGCTAGCTACTCGTGAAACTTTGTCGGTCAATACAAATTAGTGCTAGGGATTAGTTGACAAGCTCTTAAGTCAGTACACAATAATCTTATAAAAGAGGCTCATAATCATAAATCATAGATCGGGTATAGTAGACTATATAACTAAACAACTTCTTATGCTTCTAATTTCAAAATTCACATTGCATTCTTTAATAAATTAAAATCGATAAATTTTATTGCTTTCAATCACTTGACATGCGTAAATAAATCAAATTCAAGAAATTAAATCATATTTCACTCATAACATTCGATAACAAATCTTATCCATGTTTCAATTATCTATTTCATGTAAACCTCGGTTTGTTATAGAAATATTGCGATTTTTTCTTTACAATTCAAAAATCTCCTAAAATCATAACAAAGGTTTGTATGGTTGAAATCGACTTGAAAAATAGAGAAAATATATAGAGGGGTCGAATTTGACTAAATTGGTCCAACTGAACCTATCAAATCGACTCACTTGAACCATGAACAATTTTTCTTGCTCTTGCTTGCTTGCATGTGTGTTAGCTATGTTTTTTGTTTCTTCTTTCGATAATTCCTTTCTAACAATGATTCTACTCGATGACTAAGGAAATCCAATGTATAGTCGAAGTGCATAAAAGCCGATAGTAAGTGTAGCCTAAGCCCACTACTAGCAGATATTATCGGCTTTAGCTCATTACATATAGTCGTCGTCAGCCCAAGCCCACTGCCTCACGGTTTCTAAAACGCGCTTGCTAGGGAGAGGTTTCCACACGCTTATAAGATATGTTTCGTTCCTCGCTGGCACACTGTCCAGTGACCGATTTTGATACCACTGTAACAGCCTAAACCCACTATTAGAAGATATTATCCACTTTACCCATTACGTTTTGTTCCCCTTTCCAACCACGGCCACCAAATACTTTTTCTAATTTTATTTTGAAAAAAATCAGATATTTAGGTTAAACTAAAATATTATATTATTATTATTTGAGTAACTTCATCCTAATTGACATGTATTCTTTTTCTTGAAATCGAAATTCAAATTGATCATAATTGACCTGTATTCTTTTTCTTGAAATCGAAATTCAAATTCATACTTTGTTAAAAAAATATTATAATAAATTTATTTATTTCATGATTTCCATGCTTTTATACTTCTAAATGTGTCTTGATAAAATATTTCATGTTCTAAGATGATAGTAATATTTATTTCTCATTTGGATCGTGTTCAAACTTCAATAATAATCTTTATTTCTCACTTGGATTGTGTTCATACTTCAATCAAAATGGATAAATATCATAGGATACCTGATTTCCATCGCATTATTTTAGTCAACCATGTGGTATTATTGTCATTCATGATTAAGAGAGAAAAAAAAAAAAAAAAACTGACAAACACGAACAACTCAAATGAACAACTCAACCACCAATTAGTGTGAAATTATTTAAGAGCATACATGAGTTTCAATACATTTCAATAAATTTTCACTTACTGAATAACAATTTTCTGACTCCTCCTGTAGTCCTTTATAGCTAAATGAGTATAAAAATCTCCCCCAAGAAGTTTACTCGTGGACTTGGACCGTTATAGAAATTGTAATGTTGCCCCATGACTTGACTTTTGCATTTTGCTTGTCACTCTCGTGCTACGATCCTGCCTTTATCTAAAAAAATATTAATATTCAGTAGAGCACTGTAACGACCTATTTTTCGAGAGATTTGGGTCACAGACCTGCTTTTCAATAAAATTATTTCATTAAATATGACGTTAGTAATCGGGAACGTGCCTTTTCTTTTCTTTTTGAGCAGAAAAAGTATTCTCTAATGATAATTTTTATGAAAAAAATGTTGTGCAAGTTTGCGGGCTTCAAATTAGAAACTTGCAATTAATCATCATTTTTAAGGAAAATTGACCTCGGTTGTTTGTATATATCGGTTTTATGGTCCTAACCTTCACATTTTCGAGTATTATACATATTTTCTTTTCGGTCATAAATTGTTTCCCTTTCTAGTTTAAACCAATAAAATATTCCTCAATAATGAAATGATTTTTGAGAAATGTGATACCCAAAATGAAAGAGTATAGATGATTAAGAAAGACTTAAAAAGAATAGTAAGTTACTACTTATATGAACAAGAAACCTTCCATATTATGGCTCAACATAGGAACTCCGAGATTAATTGTGTTTTTCATGAAACAATTTTATGTTCCGTGACCTTTTAAGAATTTTTGTTGCAAACATGTGAGTGAGAATAAAACATGTTGAAAGGACTCATGTTGGTCTGTGTAGATAGTTTTCACTCTTAAAAACGACAAGTAAGTAACCTGACCATATTATCAAAAGGAATGCTAGGGTTATTCGATGCTAAATTCAGATTTATAATCTTGGATATGAATGGTTAAAGTAGAAACTTGAAACCCAACCAAATTATAACATCAAAAGAACTCTAAAATCCCAATAGATTCCTTCCACTTTTATCGACTACAAATTACAACATATTAGGTCTATAAGAAACCCAACAACTCTACGTTGAATTATTATATATGTAAGCAATCAAACATATGAAGAAAAAAAAAAAAGTTTTGTGGGAGCAACAACATGAGTGGAGATTTTATTTCATTTTTTCTACGGGTGTATCCATTCAAACTTATTCAAAGAAATATTTTTTAAATAAAATCCATCATCAAAAGCTGCTCAAATACAGTTTTTAAAGTCACATCGTTCACAAAGCCAATTCGATTTTTCTGGCTAAAAAACCTCAAATAAAGCATGCCCATTCAAACTATTAAAATTGCACCAAAACAAAGTCGTACGTCAAAAGTTCATTCTGAAGCTCCAGTTGAATTGAGCTTGCTTCTCCAAAATGCGTTTGCTCACATCGTCGTCATTTGACTTGCAATGAGTATTTAAAACTGAGTTTGTTTGATAATTGTAAATAGTAACTTGCCATTTGCTCCTTATAGCTTGTCTGTTGAATCCTGCAAAACATGTGTTAATAATAATGTTTGATTCCAAAGCAAACAATAAGATAAAACAGAAGCTGATTAGAGGTTTCATCGTTCTTTAGATACTTGAGGCTCTAATGCTCAGCCATTCGAATTTTGGTTCATTATATATCCATGAAACTTGTGTGAGCCAGTTCTTAATAATGTTTGGGAGGGTGATTTAAGGTTAATATACAGGCAAAACATTAATGGCTATTAATGCTTTGAGGTTGGATATCCATTTGTATTGCATAGTTATAAATATCAATCTTTTTTAATTTGCTATTTTTGATGGAGATGGAAAAACAACTTTATTTTTAATTAAACAATAAAGGAAAATACAAAATAGACCGTTGTTTTTTCTATATTTTCTCCTTAATTAGCATCAATTATCTCAAGCACATCAACCGACTTATAAATAGTTCTTTTAAAGTTATTTATCTATTTTTTTAAACCCGAAAAAAAATAAATAAGATTAACAAGATGGAGAGAATCACATTAGTATTATAAATAAATAAAAAAAACCAAAATTTAAAAGTGTGGCCAAGGTTAAAACCTTCCACATCACATATCTTAATTAAAAAAGTTTATTATATATGATCGTCAATCTCACGATTTTAAAACGAGTCACTGAGTTCATATAGTTTTTGGGAAAAATTTCTAATTTTTTTTTATGTTCAAAGTACACTTACTTTTAGGTTTTAATTTGGTTATAACTTCCTATTTTACTTTTTTTTTTTTTTTTGGTCAGATAAAAGAAGATTTGTTCCCTACACGATTGTACCTCAGACAGTTATATTTGGATGGCTTTTAATGATTGGTTTTCATAATAAAAGGAGATTTTCTCTGTCATCGGTTGTACTACTAGGGTGTACATGCAACCCGACAATCCCGACCAACCCAACCCGAATTATAAAGGTTGGGTTGGGTTGGATTAGCATTTCGGGTAAGGTTGGATTCATTTTTCTGAACCCGAATTGAATCGGTTCGATTTCGGGTTCGTGAATTCTCAAGTTTACCCGAGCTAAATTTAAATATATAAAATATATTAAAAAAATTTACTTATAATAGATTTGTCAGATTGGTACTTTTGCGCTTGAGTTCTATGTTCTATAGATAAGTAATTCTAAATTTTAATTTAAATATATTTAAAGATAAACCAATAATTTTATACCTTAGTTGAATGTTCACAAATTATGTTTTAATATATTTATTTTTTATTTGTTGCAAGGTTATTATATTTCTAAATTCTAGTTTAAATATATTTAAAAATAAATCAATAATTTTAAATTCCAATTGTATTTATTTTCTATTTGGAGTAACATTATTATATCACAATTTATATATATATATATATATATTATATATTATATATTATTTTTCTAATAGTTTAGGCTATCTATCTTTATCAAATCAACTAAACATATTTCAACCTTTTATATGTTTATTTGGTTATATACAATATATTTAAATTAATCATTTTTATTGTTTATTTAATTTTATAATATATTCTTATATTTTTTCTATTTTAATTCATTTTCAAGAAATGTCGGACATTCCCTAGTTTTATGACAGGTTGAACTAGGTTAATATGTCACAATTTTCATTCGAACTATGTTAGTATGTTACAATTTTCGCTCGTTGTTTTTTATTGATTTTTTTTTTTTTTTTTTTTTTAATTTTATGGATTGATTTGTGTTTATTTGTAAATTTTTAGTGATTCAAAGGGTTCTCACAAAACCCAAATGTATGTGATAAATAAAAC